AACGGTGCACCTCTCTCACAAGAAAAAAGACAAGTACCAAGTGGTGTACCTGACTATGTCTTAAAGTATGGTGAGTTGTCTCTCTCTTTATCCACAAGAAAAGAATGTCTTCTAATATCATAAAGCTCCAATCGTATATCTTCACTCGGAGGAGAAATATTACCCGACCGACCTCCAATCATTCCTCACCCATTCTACCCCTCGCGTAGACTTCAATGAAGTCCCTGGTCCTTCCAAGCCCCTAAAGACCTCAAATTTGGATCAAATGGCCAACAATGTTTGGCTGACTTCCAACGACGATGTTACTACAGATCCTACATGGATCAAGGGTACAAGACCTAACGCAAGTGGAAAAACTGAGGGCGCAACAACTGCAGCCATCATCGTCAATGACAAGGGAAATGGAAACGTAGACGCCTTTTACATGTACTTTTACGCCTACAATTATGGTGGAGAGGTACTAGGATGGAAGCAACTAAACTTTGGTAAGTCACATTGCTATCTCACCAACCAAGTCTACCATAGGCACCAAAACACATCACAATACTAACCACACACCACCCAGGCAACCACGTCGGCGACTGGGAACATACCATGGTCAGGTTCTCCAACGGCCAACCCACCGCAATCTGGTTCTCGCAGCACGCCAACGGTCAAGCCTTCCGCTACTCCGCCGTCGAACGCGACGCCACCGGCATCCGCCCCATCGCATACTCCTCCAAAGGCTCGCACGCAAACTACGCCATGGGCGGCACCCATGACCACACGATCCCGAACCTCAACCTCCCCGGCGGCGTCCTCGAAGACTACACCAACAGAGGCACCGTATGGGACCCGCTGCTCAGTGCCTGGTACTACAAGTTTACTCCCAGCACCAATAAGTTCGAAGCGTATGATGGCCAGGCGCCGACGGCGTGGCTCAATTTCAAGGGCAGGTGGGGCGATCAGGAGTATCCTGAGAGCGATAAGAGACAGTTTAAACTTTTTGGCCAAGCGAAGTTTTCGGGGGGGCCGACGGGGCCGGCGGATAAGCAGTTGAATCGGGAGAAGATTTGTCCGGAGAATGGGAAACTTTGTATTCTGAGGAGTATACTTGTGCCGAGGAAGGCGGGGATGGATGGGGCGTTGGCGGGGATGGATGGGGCGTTGGCGGAGAGGGATGAGGTTGTTGGGTGAGGGTGTAGTTGTGGTTTTATACCTTTTTTCAAGTGCCGATTCCCGGGCTTTTTTTAAATGATAATTTCTAGTGATTTTTTTAGATTTTATATCCAGAGAAAGAGGTGTGAAGGGTTGATGTACCTGTGATTGGACATCAATTGATTGAGAGAATTCCCAAAACACCAGATTTATAATACGAGAGTGAAGTTTGCAAGCAATAATCTTTTGCCACAGGCTCATGCTTTGAAAGTCTTCGAATCGTTGCTCATCTCGATACGTAGGAGATAAAGAGTAAAAGTGTTCAAATCTATTGTGTGTAATTATCATCAATATCCTGGATTCGTACGCTTGTGTTAATATTCCACATTCAATAAGTACAGCACTGGCGCTTTGAAACCGTTGTATAGACAAAATTATGGATAACACTAAATTTACACTCTCTAAATTGTTAAGGTTATTCAATATTTGGACGGTATATTCGGAAACGTAGTACACGATATTTTTTAGTAATCTACGTATTGAACTTGCAGGAAGGTAAAGTTCCTGGTACGTAGGCAGCCTATGATGAAAACAGAAGTGTTGTCCAAGTAAATTGTATGGGCCGGAGTAACGGGCCACCGTGGCTAGCTCACTTTGGGTTGCAACCATATTCGAATAAACTATTTCTTATAACGTGCCACCCATGTGGGAAACATCCACCACCTGTCTTGAATAGTCATCACCATCGCGATGTTTTGATCAATGAATTCCATATCCTTGCACTCCACAAGAAAATACAGTTGCGCTACCCTCAGTATACCTAATCCCATTTGTAAACCTGCAGATCCTGGTAAGGGGGGTACGTATATCTATTCATGCACTCTAGTATAGGCAATGTATGCTAAAAAAGAGAACATAGAATCCTCCTGGAGATTGCTGTCTGGACTATATAGACACATGCCGAAAGATATGCGCAGAGGTAGGTCCATATGACAGCTTATCTAAACAGCATACACCATGACATATGGCTAATATTAGAGTGGTGTAATGGCGGTGATCTGTTGTTTAATTCAGCATGGAAGAGTTCTCAGGGCACTTGTGACTGTCACTGTTACCTTTGTTGTGTTAACACGTAGGATTGCCTTGGGAGTCATCGTAGTATATGCTTTCAAGGCATGGCTATGGCACTATGACATGAAAAAAAACCTGTAATACACCGTTCTGCGTTCTGCAGTGGTATTTATTCCAAGCTTCAGGCATGGGAGTAAACTTGTGACTAATATTTTTCGAAGGTCTAGTAGGTGGAGGTTAGAAGCATAGAGTGTTAGTCCGAGTTGCTGGGCTAAGCTTCTTGGCTATAGTACACTGATAGCCACTACACCCCATTATTCACATTTCCCAAAAATCTCAGCAGCAATCTTTCTGTGAATACGAATAGCAACAATGAAGTCGTGGGACCACGTGACACGGTCCTGAGAAGAGCGGGAGAAATAGATGGCTCGAAAGTGACAAAAGCCCCCTTTCCAACATGACTGTATACCTCCAATCAACATGTAATGCGATGCAAGACGAACCCAAGGAAATCAGTGAACGCTGAATACGCCATTGACGTACAAATAGCCAGAGAAAACCAAATGCGCCTCGTACTAACCTCACAGCGGCCTAGCAGATGATTAAGCCAACTTAGTAAACAAGATTCTATCACGAATCCAACAAGCATTCAAGACGTATTTGTAAATATCCGTGCTACAGCCACTTGGAGCTGCAAGTAAGCATGCAGTCAGCACTCCTGTAGGACCTTCTTAGCCAATGAAACTACACGCATTAGACTAGCGGGCCTGGGTTGTAGTTTGTGTACGCTGGATCGATAAGACAATATGCTAAACATATTTATGAATCATCGAGTTGAGGGGTTTCTATGGTACTGGTGACAAATAGTGGTAACTTTTGTGAGAGACGCGCTGTGTATATAATCTTACAAGATGGATCGCAAGGAATAGCAATCAACCCTTGCTTGCAGAAACGCAGTCCCTCAACGCGCACTTGATTACCCGATATATTCAAGTTTCAGGATATTCCAGCATGCCACTTTCAACCGATACTCAAGTGCTAGAGACTAGCAATGGTCTCGTGAGCACGCTTCGCGGTATGGCTGGCGATGCAGCACAGAGCTTTCGACCGGGTTCGTCGCTCTCTCCTTGCATAACCCTTCCAGATCACTAACACCTACTTCCAAACTCAGCCCATGCAAAAGGCCATCTACTAACCGGAACCTTCAAACCCACCACCTCAGCCGCTGAGCTGACTTCAGCCCCGCATTTCAACGCTGCATCCACACCAATCACCGTCCGCTTCTCCTCCTCAACTGGCTTCCCCAAAATCCCGGACACAGACGCCAACGCCAACCCCCGCGGAATCGCAATCCGATTCCACCTCCCGGAGCAAAATGGCAAACGGCAGCACACAGATATAATCGCCCATTCCACAAAATACTTCCCCACACGCACCGGCGCCGAATTCCTCGAATTCCTCAAAGCAGCAACAAGCAGCAATGCCGCCGAAGCAGTCCCCGAGTTTCTGTCTCGCCACCCAGAAACTGCGCGATTCTTACAGGACTCTAAGCCCAGTCCGGAGAGCTTTGCTACTGAAAAGTTCTTTGGGGTAAACGCGTTCAGGTTTGTCAAGCAAGATAAAGTTACCACGCTGCGATATCGAATTGTGCCTGTTGCGGGCGAGCAGCATGTTGATGTCGAAGCGCTCAAGAGCAAGTCTGATACCTACCTTTTTGACGAATTGACGCCGCGTCTTGAGAAAGCTCCAGTTGAATTTAAGCTCCTTGCGCAGATTGCGGAGGAGGGCGATGTAACGGATGATGCCACGCAGATTTGGCCTGAAGAACGGAAAGTGGTTGAGCTGGGTAAGATTACGATTGAGAAGACGCTAGGGGAAGAGGAGAGTTTGGAGAAGCAGAGGAATGTGATTTTTGATCCCATTCCGAGAGTTCAGGGTGTGGAGCCGAGTGATGATCCGCTGTTGGAGGTGAGGGCGAATGTGTATTTGATTTCTGGGAAACAGAGGAGGGAAGCTGAACCCGTGAAGAGTGAGGTAGGGAAGCCTACGGATGCGGCGGTGGCTGCTACGTAGAGATGTGTGTTTTGAGGGTTTGGGATATATTGCAGGCAGTGGAATCAACCAAGGAACCATATTCGTGTTGTTCACTGTTCCTTACATTGTTAGCTGTCTCCATCGTGAACTAGGGTTTCATTCACTTCCTGTGCCCCCTGCTAGCTGCAGCAGTGCCACAGAGGTTAACGCCTAAAATCCAACTTAGTAGCTACTTCTAGGATATATAGCTTTGAAATGAAGGGTTACATAAAAGAAATACCAATCTATCTACAGACAGTTTAATTGAGGAGTCGCCAGCCGCTCACGTGTTAATTTGAAAAAGTAGTATCAGACTAAGTTCCAAATCAATAACGAGGCTACAACAAATGTGAACTTGCGTAACTACTAGAACCGTCTTACTGTTAGCCGATCATAGGAACCGTTAGGCTAAATTAGTTTGGTTTGGCCCACCTTGATACGTTCGGCGGTTCACGTTGGAGTGCCGTAAAAAGCAAAACGGCCTCAGCTGAGAAGACTTCAGCCCATGAACATGAACAGGAAACTTCAGCTGAAGATACCTCGGCTGATAGCAAACCAGGCAGCCATTAGCTGCACTGAAATCAATAGAAATAGAGGTAGCTATTACCAATCTGTGTCTGATAGAGGATAGATCTGCATTCAGTGACACCGTCGTGCAGAAGTCATATAGTAGTATCAATCGATGCTGCGCCTACATAAACACCGAGGGCTCCTAGTCTGACGCGCAGAATTCATTTAAAAGCAGATCAGTTTATCAATCCACTTCTAACATGAAGTTCATTAGTGCTACTCTTGTATTTCTGTTCGATACAGCTCCGACCCTAGTGGCCGTTGGTGGTCGTTATTCAAACAACTGGGGCAGGGACTGCATTTGCCTCGACTCTAAAGTGTGTCGCAATAAATGGCACGGTAATTCTTACACCAAAACTCCTAGTGATTAGCCTTGCCCTTCAGACCCTTCAAACATCATGGCGTGCGTCATCCCTGACTGCCCGGGCTACGGCTCCAACACTCAGTGCCTATGGAGAGAAGGTTGCCGGTCCGTGAACGGCGGTAAGTCGTTTTATTTTGACAACTCTAGATATTATGCGGGTCCCTGATGTGCGTGCAGATCCCGTTTGTCCAGGTGGAAGAGACTTTGTCTGCTGCAACCACAACTACCTTGAGGGCTAAGTAGAGTGGCATCAACGGCTAGGTCAGAACCAGATGAGGTGCCCATATGAATCAAATCTGTCGGGAAAACTGAGGAGATCAGTTATGTGCTGAAAATGATAGCATACATGTGGAAATAATTTGATCCTGCCGCGTTTGCGGTGAAATACAATACACGATATAACGTCGGTTACTGCGTAGCGAGACACTGCGTGACGAGACACCATAGACATGCCCCAACATAATAAACTCTACAGCAGGTTGCAAGAATAGAAATTCTTAGAATAGGAGCTTTACTCTATAACTAAGTTCTATGCTTACTTAACGTCTCGTAGAAACAAGTTTAAATGACTATGTAATACGGCAATTTAGTGTAAGCATCACGCGACTGCTTCGCTTTAGCTAGCAGTAGGTATATCAACACCCCATGAATCTATCGGAAGTCTGTTAACTTGTAGCTTATTATACAATCATTCTATTCTAAGCACTGCGCTTGAACTCGAGAAATTGTCGTGCTTTTGTGATAGTTCTAAGCGCGCCTGCTAGAAGTGCTAGACAAGAAAGACCCGCACAAAACCATCATGCCGTTCTACAGCTCCGCAAACCCATTGCTCATCCCTTGTTCAACCTACCACGTCCTAGCCACAGGCAGTTAATTGTCAACCCTCACCAGCCAAAATCACGTGCTGTGGGTATATATTATTCCTCTGGGAGTCTTGATAGCTCCTCAAGGATTCGTCCCAATACAAGCCTATACTAATACCTTTAGCTTGTGTTTTATTATATGCAATAAGGACTATTCGCATCCCTCACAGGTTGATCATTAGCCTCATGATCGTCCTAGCCAAGTAACAGTAGAACGGCTACTTTTAGAACTACGTGCACGTGAATGATTCGCTACTTCAGCATTATCAAACCAATGAACTCCTCTAGCAACACTAGCAAAGAAGATAGTCAACCTGCACTAGATATAGAATCTATAAGCTTTTAAGCAACAGAGGAGTATATTATTGTAGATACTAGTAAGAGCTGTGCATCTTGAGTTAGTCTAAAATATACATATAAGAAATAGCTCCTGTTAAGAGATTCTAATCCCCTACTGTAAGAAAGAGCGCGGAGTGTAGATACCAGAAGCCGATTCCGCAAGCAAGTGTAACAGTTGCTGAACATCTTCCATCAACTGTTTTGGTCCCACGATTTGTATGTACACTCAAATACTACGCCAATCCTGAAAGCGTAAGCTCTTGCGATACGCTAGCTATTCATAGAATGATTTAATTATGCAAGGGTCGATTGAGTTCAGCTCCTTCGCCGTTGCCACGCTGTTGCCACAATCGTACGGAAAATCCACTGTGATCATCAGTACCAAAGTAACTCACCCCAAGAACCCCGATACTCCAGTCTTCAAAGTGACCAGGCTCTGTTACGAAAACCAATCAGACAACTCAAAGGGATACTCCTAGTTACCTACGTGTGCCCCAAAAAAACAGTCTTGCACCACTTTCCCTTGTTCTCTCCAACTATCTTCACCCAAAGCGTACTACTCGCCAGGGATATCCTCCGTACTAGGCCAGTCCCAACCCGCATACCTGCCTTCAGCACCGCCACGCCACGCGAAAGTACCAGCACCGCTGTATACATGCAATGCCATATACATATTGTGTGACCCGGTAACCGGGCATTGCCAACTTGGCACAGCCCACCCCGATCGCACCTGCACCCGGGCACAACGAATTATTTCAACTTTCTTCCGCCATGCTAACTAGTAGACGCTAGTGCTACAATTTCATTGTTTAGTTCGAGTCCTTATCCCGAAAAGAGTACAGTTTGTAGTACCTCCTACCCCGTTTCCTTCCCTACCATCTTGTAAATGCGAGTAATTATCGTTGTGGCGTTTTGATCCCTTTTTTCTCCATCTAAGACAAGAAAACGTCATCTGACACATCCGGGTAGAGGTGCCGGACGGGCCAACGCCGCGGACGGGCCAACGCCGGATTTTTCCCCAACAGTACTATCACAAACTTGAAGCTGTAGAGCTCTACATAAAAGCTATTATCGCGAGAAATTTTAATGTAGTAACCTAGTAGTATTATTTATCTAATCTATCTACTAATATTTAATTGGCAGCTTAATGGGGCGGCCTAAACGCGAGCATGGTAACGGTAGTGCAGCTAATCGATCGGCTGGCTGCGCACCACCACTACTACTACTAATAATAATATTTTTTAATACTAGCTTAGCACGGCGCTTAGAGCTAGGCTTCTTACCTATTCGAGAGATTTTGATAGCTTTTTAAAGTCATTTGTGGGCGGCTTAGCGGGCTATCCAGTAGGCAGCTGCTTCAGCTTTCTACCTCTCACAATCTAGTTTTGCCTATGCCCACGCCCGCCACCGTGCATCTAGTTCTTAAGCTTTAAGTAGCTTTCTCTCCTTTCTAGCTTCGATTATAATAGCTTTTTGGCGTTATAACTCCTCATAATCGCGCTATTTCTGCTTATATTAGTAGCGAGCTTCTCGCACTTTCCGTGGAGACTAGAAAGTAACTCTACCATAGTAATCATCAGATAGCTCAAGCGTACCAGGCTAGATACGCTCCTTCCGCTGTCTCTCATCTATAAAAGCTGCCCAGAGCTACTCATTTTCCCGTTAAAGAAACGCTGTATCGGCGGATAGTTTCATCATAATTCTATTAAGCGCTAAAATTAACCTATTACTCGTAGATTAATTAAGTAGCTGCCAAATCATTCTCTAATTAGAAGCTAATACTACTAATGCGTCTCTATCACTATTAGCAGCTGTAGTTTTAAATTTTTAGAGTATAACTTCTAGATTAAATAGTAAGAGCCCAGTAGCTCTAAAAGCATAAAGAATTAATAATTCCTTAAACGCTGCGCACCAAGCTCTCCAGAATATTAGGAAGAAATAAGATTTAGTAAATAGTATCAGCCCTTAGCTTGTAACGGCGCAGGCAAGACTACTCGGATCAGTATCGGCGGTAGTGTCACTCAGAGGCATATGGGAGTGCGTGGGACATCAAACGAGCCTTAATTCGAATAGACACCTATAGGCCTTGTACGAAAGGATATCAAAAATCTATCGAGCTACGGTATGGAGAAGGTGGGGTTTTATATCAGCAGATCTGCCCTCGGCTAGTGCGTGCCCATGTTCGGATCCCTTTCGGATGTTAGTTCAGTGTGTACTCGAACCGTTACACTACCCCCCCCTCTATTGACAGCTAGTCCCGTAGCTGTTGAAAAATTTTCAATGTTTGTTTGTTTGTCTGTTTGCTTGATGTCGTCATCCTTCTATGCAGGGTCTCGGCCAGGCCCCGAACAGCCTCCGGGCCAAGGAGAATCCACTCAGCACGTGATATTAAATCCGTTTGCTCACTGAGTATATTAACAGCACGCGTCCATACTTGCTGT